ACAAGCGGCTACGAGATTAGGTCCTCCCTAGATTTCGTCTGGGTAATGGATAGCGCTGGGGGGACGATTCATGAAACAAACAATGTTACGTATAGTGCAACACACCGGGGAAAGCACAGGAAACGGGAGGGAACGCACGGGGAATTTACAAGGAAATACAAGATGGAGCGTACGGTGTAATGGCAGGAAAAGTCAACCCACGGATGACGTTGGGTGGCAAAGAACCTCCTGGAGGTAGCCCTTGCTATGCCCAACGGAACACGTTTACGAGATGCACGGGAATCATAAGGGAACTATATGGAGAAACACACAAGTTGTTAAAGGAAATGCGTCAGGAATGCAAAGTGAATGCACGGGAAGCATGCATAGGGGAACAAATGACGAAATGCAAAAGGAAGCGTACGGTGTGACAAATAGGCAAAGGCATTCGGAAAGCCACTCCAAAAGTACGGGCGGCATAGGAAGGAGCTCGCCGGGAACTCGTCGGCCGTCGGGTAATGCACGGAGCTGTGTATGGCTCAAAGCACAAGGGAAGCCATAGCCGAAAGCAGAGAAACCCATGACAATGCACATGAATTGCACAACGCAGGAAGGTCACGACGAAACGGACGAGCAAAAACGTAAAGAAACCCGCTACGAATTCACGAACGTCGGCGAGGGAAACCCACAGATGCATGTAACGGAAGCCCAGGGATTAGAAGTAGAAATGGAAAGAGAAAGCTAAGCGAATTGCACAATGGAGTGCATTGTGAAAAGGACGATAAAAACCCGAGGAGTTGCGAATGCAAGGGGGAAAGTGGGTGGGGACCTACAAGGGAACCCAACGAAAATACCTCGATTTTGTTTTAATGCCCTTCATTAAATGATATTTAAAAGTAATTAGGTCATACAAATATCAAACTTTGAAACCGGTTCAATTAAAGCAACTTGTTTCCTTTTTTAATTGTTTCGAACTTGTACTTAATTGTAAGCTCTGCTTCGAAGACCATCAGGTCTTTACACGGGGATATTTAAAAACCTGCAGAAATCGACCAATAAAATTATCAGAAAAGGTTTATCTCCTGGTTTATTTAAACGAAGTATGATGGTCGCATGAATCAGGCTTTACTATTGTATTTCATTTCACGTATTACTGTCTTAACAAAGCCTAAAGATACAAAGATCTGGAATGAAGTTGATCTTTTTAAAGTGATACAATAGTTTTGCATAAGAATTAAAATCCAAGTCGTGAAAATATGCGGCGATGTTTTTGTTAGTGATTGGTTCCAGTTTGTAATCAATATTCATGACTACTTGTGGAATTTGCGTCAAACAAACACTTGGTGATACTGCGGTGAAGACGTGGATTTAAGTACTCCTGGTGATGTCGGATCTGGCCATGTTCTTCCTTCAAAGAAGATAAAGTAGGACGAGATAGAAGTATTAAAATTTTTATGGTGAGTGTACGTGTTAATCTTCAGTTTACTCTTCACCAAACGGAACAATTTCTACCTACCTAAGTTAAGTTCCACCGTTCGCACGCAATTGTCGAGCTGTACACAGCTTCTAATTCGTTCATAGACCAGATAGCCGTAGTTTTTGCAATCACTGAGTTGAAATGTTTCGGTCGGTGAAGGCTTAAGAAATAATTTTTGCGCGAGTATGTAACTGATACTTGTGCTGAATTTGTATGAAATTTCCTTTTCTTCTCGTTGCATGCTGCTCCTGGAAAGTTGAAAACGGTTACCACGTGCGAGCCGGTTTATACGAGCTTTAGTCGCTGCTTGCCCTGGTAGTAATAGTGTATCTTGGAAATACATTTTTCCCGAGAAAAAGCTTATGTGTCTCTTTATTGTTTCCTTTGTAAGGAGATGAAATGGAATAACGGTCAAGATGGAATTCATTGGTATGACCTGGCGAACGAAAGAAAAGACTGAAATTCGCGGAGTTCAAATGGTTATTCAACACTGGAGATGACAACGAGATAAGAATTTTAATTTCATAACTTTCGATTAAAATGGTGGCAATATATTTGAAGCTTACGTTGCGAGAATTAGTTGTCGAGGTTTAATTTTTCTTGTAGAAAAACTCTTGGCATTTATTTGTTTCGAACGAGTAATATATATTTTTCAATAGCTAACAATGAGCTGTAATGAATTTGAGATCTCGATTCTGGTTGCACCATTTTAGTCGACACATTTCAGGAAATATTTTTAAGTGGATAAACAACGTTGCGTTTTTACGGTGGCACTGTATTTGGGAACACCATCTAAATATTTGTGATCAAAACGCGTACGTTTTATCTCGGAATCGACCAAGTAGTGTAACATTGAGTGGGTTAACGTTTTTGTTGTCAGGCAAAGGGAGATTTAAATGGCCTTTACGACAAGGAAAAAATATACTTTGCAACGGCATTGCTAGAATTAAAATTATCGCACAACATTTTGCTCTGTTCAGATCGAATATAACCTCGTATTCAGTGTTTTGTCATGTAAAAGGAGATTAATAAGTCTTTGGCCTTCAACAGAAAAAGAATGTATTGTGGAACAAACGAATTTTTTCTGTAACAAATTTAAATTGTCTTGTTACTATTAAAATTATCTTCAAACATCAAATTCTCATCGAATAGTGCCTCGAACTCATAATGTAATAAAGCAAATAAATGCTAGGACAGTTAATGAAAATTACTCTTCCTGAACGGATGGTCATCTGATTTTTTTATGAACACACAACTGTATTATAAAATTATTTGCAAAAACATGTTGAACAATCTGAAACACATTTTAAAAACAATTTTCGACTCCGGCCAAAAACGTCGATTGCAAATTGCCACGAAGATTTCTAACGGCTGCCGAGAACCATCCGAAGTATTTTGAAGATCGCCGTGGATAGGATTCCGGAGATCACTCGAAGATTTTCGAAGGCTTCCGAGGATTTCCAAACTGAAACGAAAGCTTTGGGAATGCTTTAAGGAATTCGGAAGTGTAAAGGAATATTTCCCAGAGATTAATTACAAACTGCATTCAGAATCGTGATTACCGAGATAATTATCTTTTGCTGTAAATCGAGGCTTTTCTGGCATATTGTTGTCCCACACCTACTTTATCTTCAAGTTGTTGGACATACTACACAACTCTCAATTTTTGAAAGTGCCACCTTAACGACATATCAACGTTTGCTTAACCTCTAGACATTGAAAGTTTAGGCTTCTAAGATCAATATCTGGTTTATAAAAGATGTTTTGAAATGGAAAAAGCAGAGAAGTATCGCGATTGTGATAAACAAAAACATCGACTAGGATTGTCTTGATGTGCTACCAAATTCTCAGAACTACGGTTAAGACCAAGTAAGTAAATTCCGTTAAGGAGAGTTGGTATTTTCAGCTTTAAAGTACGAACGAGTTCAGGATGTTTCTGTAAATGCACTAACATTTGCAAACCAACAGGCATCATTTGTTTTCCAACAATTGTCTAGCAGAGAACATTTCGCATGCAAATACTACACAATAACATTTAAAATTAGCTACTGCACTGATTGTTTTTCAAGATTTAAAAGGCTGCCAACAACTTTATAACAATCCTAAGCAAAGCTAGAAAGACCAGCAACTAATTTGTTAATAAGGATGATAATATTTGTGCATGAATTGGTATTAAAAACGTGCCTTGTCATACAAAGTGCTCGTGTCGCCTTTGTAAAACATGTTTGTTTTCCTTTGTCAAGTTAAAATTTCTGGACGTTCAAAAAAGTACATAAGCATTTTTCTTTGATAAGCTTTATTTAACACAAGGCAAAATATTTTCAAAAACTTTTCAACGAATTAAATATTTAAATTTTCGCCCTGGATTATTCCGACATTGTTTTGACTTAACGAGTCCGTAAAATATACTGAACCGGCCGAAGAAATTTTTGTTATTTTAGGAATAAACATCTTTGTACAACCAGATATTGATTATTTTGTGGTGTTTACACTTTGGTAGTTGCACGGAAAAAGAGACAAGAAAACGGAGCGAACGGTCGCATCGGAAGAGAAAATTGACTTATTTCGAAACTTGAATGGGTTATAAACCATCGAAATTGGGCAATTTTTCGGGGGGACAACGATTGGATGTTGATTGATAACTATTCTTGCTCCTGTGCAACTGATCCGATTTGTACCATCTCTGTTGTCGGCTAACACAGAAAGGTATGAAATGACAAGCCACAGTTCCAAATTAAAATCGACTGGATGTTGAATTAAATTCGGTAAGTTAATTTCACGCCCACTTTGCGAAAATTTAAAATCTATTTCGGAATTAAATTTTATTTCGTCACCTATTTGGCCTAAAGAAACGATTTGTGGTTTTTCCTTTCATTTCCTTTTTATGTCCCAAGAATCGAAACTTTTGCATCACCTCGCACAGAAACCATCGGGAGTTCGTTCAAGACTATTTGGCAAAACCATATTTTGAGATGGAAAAAAATATTAAAAAAAACTGATATGTTTTGAAATATCAAAATCGCTTTATCTATGCGAGGTGGTGCAGTAGTTTTTTGACGGTTTTTTGAAACTATTACCTTTGAGAAATTTTTTTGCGATGAAACATGTTTGAGAGGTAAACCTCTTTAAAATTTTTCTCAAAAAGTTGTAAGGGGAAACGCTGTGCAAATTTTTTTTAATTTTCCCGCCAAAAGTCTTAGTTTTCAAACGCGAACTTTTCCCTTCACACGTTTTAATTAATTTAACTGATTTCCATTAGTTAATAAGTTACTTATTGCAAACCAATAAAATGAAATTAATGAAAACAACAAGTGGTAGTTTTTATTGTGAACAGTTATTTTAGCATTGTCAAAAAATATTCAAGGCAGTAGAAGTAATAAAGCCAATAGAAGTCAATAATTACACACGCGTCTTCAATATAACTTTTATTAGCTTTCCAATAATACACTTAAAAATTCATTACAAACAATTTGAATACGTTAACAAAATAAAATTGCGCTTTTAAAGGGCCTGGTAACTAGTCAAAATGTAGGCTATCTCTTTCACTATTTTTTTACTATGTAGGGTTGCCAAAAAAAAAAAAATTCTGCGCTTTTGAACAGAGTCAAGCCAGAAATCAAGCATATACTTTGACTTTTGATGGGAAAAATCTTACGTACTGATAGTGCAAGATTTTTTACGCCAAAAGACTTTGCATAAGTTCGACTCAAAACTAGACACCGTTTGAAATTGCAGACCTTTTTTTTCTAAGGACATTATTTCCACTAGAGGACTTAGTTTCTTTACGATATTTTTCTTGGCCCTTTAAAAGCGCACCCTTTTCATCAATTGAGTGTGTCATCGAAAACTACAAAGTTTTCAGTAAAAATGTGAAATTCACACTAGACAATTAGACAGTAATTTTAACGAGTTTAATAGCGAGACTTCCAGGTTGAAAATTCGGGTTGCAAAAGCTATTACAGGTAAAGCTTGTATTCTACCTTAATTTTAAAGATGCAAACTTGAAATACAATTCACGGTTTCCTCAGAAACTAGCAAGATACGAGGCAATCTGGCATATACTAGACAATTTGACAGTAATTCCAATGTCTTCTTTTCACTCTTGAGTATTGTGTTGTGAAATCGCTAATACGAGCTCCGCCCTAACAATGTTTCGCAAGAAACGCAATCGAGATGAACTTTGTCTTGTAAATCTACCTTACTTTTAAAACGCGATCCACTGAAGAAACATCTAAACGAAGTCCTTAGCTTTCCTTTGCTTCTTTCTCCATGTTAATGTCACTGCATGTACACTTGAGACGGCAGCCTGAAAGACAGATAAATAAAACGTCCAATTAACAATGGGTATACTGAAACTCAAAGAACAAAATATACAGACAGTGTATACTCGACTAAAGTTTACAAGTTAATCCTCTCATCGAGAATGCGTTTGTCGTTTGGTTATATCATCCTCATAGAAATACACGGAGTTTACATAAAGAACAACTTAAAACGCCAACAAGCAACAACACGAAATACATAGCACCGACTTTAAATATAACAATAAAATTAACCTTCAATCAGGCGAAAAGCACACTGGCAAAATAGCACAGTATAAATTTAACGGCAAAGATGTTTCCGCTAAACGGACAATATTTGTATTTTCTTCCTGAGGAAGAATTTTTGCGTTGTGAATAGTCGCCAATCTTGAAATAACTCGTGAAACTTTTGAACATAGAAAGCTCTCGGGTAGCTTCAGATTTTTACAGTATAAAATTAAGGTAATGTAATTTGTCGGACTCTGCAAACAAAATTCAAATATTTACACAAGCGAATAACAAGACGAAGTTGCTTTAAAATCCAAACTGTTGTTCAAATGCAATACTTATGCACAAGCAATTATCGTTTTCTAAGAGGTCCGCGCAAGACAATTAGTGAATTATAATAAATTTTACAGTAAATTACGGTATTTAAATTATGGTATTCTCTTGTTCACCTTTGATCTGAAAACCCGGCAGCTCAGCCAGAATTGACAAGACGGCTTTAATAAAACTACGACTGAAAACTATTTCAAGAACATTTCCCAGTGGTATCTCAAATCCCAGAGGGAGATCAACACAGCGGTGAAAATCAGAAAAATGTCATCCATGACAAAAAAGTAAATAAATAACTAAGTGATAAATTTGGACGCAGTTTTGAAGCATTTTATATTTCTCTCCCACAGCATTGTTGTGTATCAAAGTTTTAGCATATGATGGGATTGACGTCTGTAACTAAGAAAGTTACTTAACGTGAATTTTCAAGACACATGGAGTACTCTCATGTGGCACTGTTATTATGCTCTACAAGGTGGTTCTAACTTTAAAATCTGTGGATACCCTATATTTGTCCACTCAAATCAGTGAATCTATACAGTATTTTTATGTACTATCAATAGCAAAATATAATTTGATACATTTTGTACTTTGCAACTCTTGAGATGATAAAGTAAATTTTTTTTTTCAACAAGAACTTCACGTCTAAATTTCGGGTCTGTCTGGTGTTCTTTGCTGTAAATTTCTTTCAGGGTTTGTTCTGAGAATTTGCTGATATATCAAGACAATATCCTCCAGTTCATAACCTTTCTTCTCATTGCTCAGTCCTTATTCAGTCCTTAGTCAAGGAACAAATTTTCCTTACTGGTTCCGAGTTATCTAGACAATTCCTTTTTGAGATTACTCTCTAAATTCTCTTCACTGTTTCTCCATGATTACGTTTTGGACTATCAGGAGAAATTTTAAACTGATCAATCAGAGGCTTAATGGCTAAGGAAGCGTAACCTGTGCATGAACAGCAAAGCAATTGGTTGCTGATCCAATTAGGCCCCTTGTCTCACAATTTAAATATTTACCGACAACAGTACCTAGAGCATTGTATTCTAAAGGAAATTTTGTATAAATTATCCTAACCTGTTAGCCATGCAACAACTCAAGGGTTTCTTGAAATATCTGAACAGTGAAACAATAACATCTCTGTTCGTTTAAATTCTTTGCCTGCATTGCGTCCAATTATTCCTGGTACATGCAGCATCAAGTGATTAAAAAACCCTCCTTTTAAAAGAAAATTGTTACTCACCCAATAAGGATCCAATGTCACAATTTGATTCTTTTTTCCTCTTGAGCCTCAGCACATCTTTTATTGGTTCTTCTCTGTTTTGTACCTGGTAAGAATCAGGAAATGTTTTAACTTTATGGCATCCTTCATCTCTTAATTTCAAAAAGTACAAAACTATAAATAAACCATCAGATTTTTTCCAGCTTTTCCTTGTCTCCGTTGCATTAAGTGATAAGGTACTGTGCACATTTTTATTTCACCTGAATGGGATGCTAGTCTGTCACAGGGGTTAGCACCCAGTCAGGGTTCATACCCTTTTTCAGAAACAAATTTCCAGGACATTTCCAGGACTTTCCCAGGACTCAGACTGATTTTTCCAAGACTCTAAAATTCACATTAACCCTTTCACTCCCAAGATCTTAATGTTAATTCTCCTTACTGTCTGCCATACATTTCATATTTTTTACTTGAGTTTAACAGATTTCCAGAACTTTCCAGGACCAGAAGCCCTTTTCCAGGACTTTCCAGTCCTGGAAAATGTCACAATAAAATTCCAGGACTTTCCAGGTTTTCCAGGACCCYTACGAACCCTGCCCAGTATTAAATTCACCCAGTGCCCAATTGTATACCTAAGAGGAGAAATGAACAGTCAAACCTTCCTTCCGCAACCACCCAAAATGTCAAGCCTAGTGGTCACTCACAGGAGGTGGTCACTTACAAGAGCTTAGATCATATTGGGTCGAAATTTTGCCTCATTAGCATATGGTAACTGCAGAGACTTGAAATGTTTATTCAAGCAGAAAGTCAATTTTTGAGAAAAAAAATCCGGTACTTCCCATCGAAAGATTTCTGTCTCTTGTACTGCCCAGGAATACAATAATGTTAAAACACTTTATTATCCAATTTATGCTCTATTATCTGTCAAGAGGTCACTTATGGAGGATAAAAACAAACGAAAATTTCAAACTTTTCACTCTAAAAGTGGTTGCAGTCGCTTACAAGAGGTGGTCACTTACAAGAGGTTCTAAATATAGAGATTTGACTTGGAAAATTTTGGTATTTTGGAAGACTGGAGTGTCTTGTCCAAGAACACAACACAGAGACCCTAACCATTTGCTCAAACCCAGACTGCTTGATGTGCAGTCCAGTACACTGACCATAAGACCACTGTGTCCCTCCCCTACGAAACGATACTCCAGGCATTGTAGCCTTCAGGAATTTTTGTACATCCTACCCCCAAAGGACTAAGGTGTATGGCTGTATGTTGAAATAGCTGAACAGTAGTGAAACAATAACATCACTATCTGTGTCAGGCCAAGTGATCCAAAATACTGCAGCTTATGCCGTGCTACCCCCCCCCCCCCCCCCCCCCCGGGATAAAACCTTCAAACACTAGATTATCTTGCCTTCTGCCTGGGTTGGTAGACTATCCAACCATGTGCATGCATTTCATACATTTATTTCTGTCTGTATAGAGTATACAGATGTTCTTTAGGCAGATAGCTACAATTTACAATATATATACAATTGACTTCTTATATACTATATACTTGTTTCTATATACTTTTTATATACTTTCCTATATCTCTATATTTCTATATTGGTTGAAATCGGTATAGTGAGAGTAATATTTTAACCAATACATGTAGAGGACTAGTAAGAGATCTAAGGCCAGAATTCTAGTACTTTGGGGTTGCTCCCTCCTATCAACTGTACAGGAAGGATTCCTTTTACAGGATGAAGAAAAGGTGTTGGTTCTTAAAGTGTTGTTGAAGTTCTTTTTTCTATCAATGCATTAAGGATTGAGTATTAATTACCTGTTCTGTCAGAAATGTCACAGAAAAGACTGTGGGAACTCCCATAAAAAAGGACGGGGGTGCTCGTTGGAAATTTTGAAAAGAACCCGTGAGAGGTACCAAGATCCTGTTTTGTGGGCGTGGCTTGAAACGTTTTTCATCCGTAAGAGGTGCCAATTCTAAAACAACGCATCTCCTGTCAAATGTTTTTCGGCTTAATACCCGTAAAAGCTCTTGCTGTTGACCTTTTGAGGCTGAACACCCTCAGGGGTACCAAAACCGCGTTTTTAACCCCTAAAAGGTACAACGAGGAACCCCATCTTTTTATATGGGAGTTCACCCCTTGGAAGGGTGTACTCATAAACATCTTTTGGTCCGATGATCAGTCTGTTTGAAAACTTAACTAAATGCTTGGAAATGATCTGCAATAGACAAGCATCCCATCTGGGAAGGATAGGAATAGCTTTGCTAACATCAGAGACTTTAACCTGGGGAAAACCAATTTCCCCAGGGAAAATCTACTTGAGTTGACCCAAGGTAAATTTACCTCGGGTTTCATTTTTCCTAAAGGAACTGAAATGTCACACTGATCAGAATTTATTCTGCGTTTTTCCAAAACCGTGTGCCTAAATCGAAAACATGCTCGAGATTCAAACCATTAGGCGTTTTTACTTTCGTTTCGTTGTGTTTGGCTTTGTTCATGCGAGCAAGACGATCAAAAGTTATTAACGACAACATTTTGATCTCACGCCAGGCCCAAAGAACGCAACGGACTCAGTCATCTCTACTCTTTGGCTTCGCAACAACAACAACATAGGCCTAAGCGTAGCGCACGGGTTCTTCCACAGCCAAATTTCTAAGTTCCAAATATATCAACAAGTAGGAAAAGAAAAGTTTCCTTGTGAAATGAAACGTTTTATTTATTTGCGCGGCTTTCGGTTTTGTTATCCAGGGAAAAATTACAGTACTAACAAAGAGCTTTTCGGCCGAGACAAGAACAGTGATAGCACAGCATGACAGCCACGCTCTTCCAAACCATAACAAGTCTAGCCTGTCATTCGGAGGCTCCACCCCGTGGTCCAAACCCTCTCCTTTAATACACTGTTTGTGACAGAAAAGGTAATCCTTTCGTATAGCTTCTGTAGAAAATAGCACCCCTTTCACATGCCTATAGTAGACACATTACATCCCTCTTCTTTACATTTGGAAATAAAACTCCCCAAAAGACTTTCGAATTAGCTGTTTGGTTTGGCAGTTTTCCTACCCTTTCTGTATTCAACTTGTAACATCTCTCCCCTATTGATGATATACAGTGTACCTACAGCTGGATATTAAGGTACCCCTTTTGGGCAACGCCTCCCCTATAGTCCCTAATATAGTTTAGAATAGTTAAGTGACCCCTTCTCCTCCCCTCGCTGAGTTACTGCTGCTCTTTATTACTTTTCCTATATTCTTCAGCAAGTAGATTCTTGCTCTATGCAGCTGCAACTTTTTCTTGTATTTTTCAGACC